AGAATCTAAAATTCAGAAATGTTTACAACTAGATGCCACCAAATTTATGGACACTTCTTAATTTTTTAAATTCATGTTTTTTAAAAAATTATGTTTAAAAAATTATCAAGTAGTTACTAAATGAGATTTGATTTGAAAAATTAAAAAAATTAAATCAAATTGGATTTCAATTTATCCTAATTTTTTTATAAATAAAAAGAGTATTATGACTTTGAAGGAGAAAAAGTATAGTAGATTACAAATTTTTATATAGAATCCTAATTGATACGCTAACTATGTTACATACATAAAATATGATTTCAAAAGTCAATTAGTTATTATTATTTGTAACAATATTTTGATATAAATAGTAAGTTTAAATCAATGTAATCAAATAGACTATTAATGAAAATGTTTTTGCATATTGTAAGAAAGCTGAATTAAGAGAAAAAAAAATACTACATGATTAAATGAAGAGTCAAAAATAAAGAAAAAGAGTTTATAGATAATACTTACAAAATAAAAGAAAAATATTTTCTATAACTTTACACTTTTGTAATATATGAAAAAAAAAAAAAAAAGCCAATTGAAAGAAAAACATTACCTAATTAAGTGAAGAGTCAAAAGTAAAGAAAAAATGTTTATAGATAGCACTTACAAAGTATAATAATATATATGTTTATGTAACTTTATATCTTATAATATATATAAATATATATATACATGTACAATATATATATATATATATATTATATAAGGTCAAAGTTAAAGACTGTGTGCTTTAAAAAAATAAATAAGTATTTCTACAATTGTCACTTTTTAATATAAAAAGAAAAATGAGGTAATACAAAAATGGAGAACAATGACAAAAAAAAAAATCAAATTGATGTTAAAAAATGATATTAAACACTCATTTATAAATTATTAAGATATTAAATTTGATCCTTTTAAATAATAAAATATTATCATAAAATCTATTAATATAAAATTATATTTGATATTTTTAAAATTTATGATATATATAATTAATTTTAAAAAATTAAAAATATGTATTACTGTCCTAATTAAAAATGATAGCTAAAGTTTTTTATATTTCACAAGCAAACTTTACAATTATTAATACTATAAATTTAATTGTAAAAACAATAAAAATATTAACATTCCAAATTATAGCATTAATTACAAATCAAGAACAATTGTGGTTTTTCACTCGTTATTTAGTTATTTAGGACTAATCTCATATCCAAACTTATACATATAACTAATTATTAAAAAATTATTAGAAAGTTAAATTTTAAAAATAAAAAGATATATTTAAAGGTGTATTTGACAAATAAAAATGATTTTTTAGTAAAAAGAAAAATTTTGGATAATTTAAAATTTTCAAATAAATATATCTTAAAAAGATTTAGATAACCAATAATTTTTTAAATAAATTGATTTAATCCATAAATAAAAATAAGAATTAATTTTATTTGTTTAAAATAAAATCTTATCAAAATAAAAAATAATAATTTTATCCCTTTAATTATTTAAATCTAAATCAATTTTCATTTAAATTTTAAACGTTTTGATAATTAAATAAATTTTGAAATTTATTTTTGATAATAATCTAAAATTAAAAAAATCTTGTATATAATTATAAAAAAAATTTAATAATTTTTAAATATAAAAAAAAATTATCCACATAAATATTACATCAACAATTTTATCATATATATATATATATATATGTTAGATTACGCTCTTCGTATGAGAAAAAAGTATTGGGATTAAAACATTTTGACTAATAATTTTTCCTCTTAAGATAATGACAAAATTCGAATTCTCAGCCTAGAAATGTTATTTCCAACTCAACTGTAATTCGTATTTTCGTCCAACGAACGAAGACTTTCTTTTTTTTTTTAATTCTTAAAGCTCTCCTTTTGCCACGTTGCCGTAATCCGCCGGCCAAACCAAACGGATCCCGTCCTCGTCAACCATCGTCGTCGACGAAACGAAAGTCAATTTTAAAGCTAATCCAAAATTTCCTCAACAACCAAACGGACCATTCTCTCGGTATCGATTTTATCTTATCATAAATGCCCTTTATGGGTGCGTCGTTTCCATGCATTGTTTCCTTCATTTCCTTAAAGTTTCCCATTCCTTTATCACCCTGCGCCTATTTCCAGATTTGATTCCCATCGTCCTGGGCCCTCCTCTTTTTGAATTCCCTCTATTCTCGATAGTTGACTCCTCCCTCACTCCAGCTGCCGTGATTTTCGTTGAATCCTTCCTGAAATCTTGCCATCTATTCTTCTCCATTCACGGTTGCCGATATGAGATGGTAACGACAAATAAGTGAAATAAATATCTTATTAGATTGTTATTCGTGCAATGCACGAATTATTTTATTTTATTAATTTATTTTTAATAATTATTCAATCAATTATTTTTAATTGTAATTAATTTTTTTATTTTAAAAAAGATTTAATTTATGAGGTAGCAAATTAAAAACTATTTATTATTTAATTTAATTATTCATTATTTTTTAATAAAATAATCATAAATAATTTATGTGTGCCAAAAATTTATTTTCATAATAACACATAAGATAATTTTTAATTTTATTTTATTTATCAAATAAATATATTAAAAAATTATTAATTATTCAAATTTTTAAAATTTAAAAGAAAGACAAAATCATTTGTATCTAATTATTTATGCTTAAAATTAATTTATAATTAAAATATAATGAAAAAAATCCTATAAATTACAGTTAATTATAAGGTTTTTTTAAAGAATCACAAATTATTTTTTTAATTTCAATTGTTTTTTTTTACCAAATAATCTTATACACTTTAAGTATGATAATATTATTTATCATATTGAAAATATATAATTTTATATCAATTAAATATTAAAAAGTTAGTTAAATTAATTTAATTTAATTAAACTAATTAAAATAAATTAAGAAAATTCATATTTTTAAATTCATATTCATGTTTGATTAATAAATATTTTTCAAAATTCAAGCAAAGAAAAAATAAACACAAATGGACCGTAATTGAATATAATTTTTTAACTTTATTGGGAAATAAACATATTGGTTAGTTAGATTATGGGTCAAATTTATAATTTTATGCATAATTTTTTTAAGTATAGATTCAAAATATTATTATATTAAAAAATTATTTAATTTTAAATTTAAAATATATATAATATTATAAAATTTTAACATTTTAATAATAAATATAAATTGAATAGGTGATTTGAGTTAGACTTGAAAAAAAATCTAAAATTTAGAAATGTTTACAACTAGATGCCACCAAATTTATGGACACTTCTTAATTTTTTAAATTCATGTTTTTTAAAAACTTATGTTTAAAAAATTATCAAGTAGTTACTAAATGAGATTTAATTTGAAAAATTAAAAAAATTAAATCAAATTGGATTTCAATTTATCCTAATTTTTTTATAAATAAAAAGAATATTATGACTTTGAAGGAGAAAAAGTATAGTAGATTACAAATTTTTATATAGAATCCTAATTGATACGCTAACTATGTTACATATATAAAATATGATTTCAAAATTCAATTAGTTATTATTATTTGTAACAATATTTTGATATAAATAGTAAGTTTAAATCAATGTAATCAAATAGATTATTAATGAAAATGTTTTTGCATATTGTAAGAAAGCTGAATTAAGAGAAAAAAAATACTACATGATTAAATGAAGAGTCAAAAACAAAGAAAAAGAGTTTATAGATAATACTTACAAAATAAAAGAAAAAATATTTTCTATAACTTTACACTTTGTAATATACGAAGAAAAAAAAAAGTCAATTGAAAGAAAAACATTACCTAATTAAGTGAAGAGTCAAAAGTAAAGAAAAAATGTTTATAGATAGCACTTACAAAGTATAATAATATATATGTTTATGTAACTTTATATCTTATAATATATATAAATATATATATATATACATGTACAATATATATATATATATATTATATATAAGGTCAAAGTTAAAGATTGTGTGCTTTAAAAAAATAAATAAGTATTTCTACAATTGTCACTTTTTAATATAAAAAGAAAAATGAGGTAATACAAAAATGGAGAACAATGACAAAAAAAAAAATCAAATTGATGTTAAAAAATGATATTAAACAATCATTTATAAATTATTAAGATATTAAATTTGATCCTTTTAAATAATAAAATATTATCATAAAATCTATTAATATAAAATTATATTTGATATTTTTAAAATTTATGATATATATAATTAATTTTAAAAAATTAAAATTATGGATTACTGTCCTAATTAAAAATGATAGCTGAAGTTTTTTATATTTCACAAGCAAACTTTACAATTATTAATACTATAAATTTAATTGTAAAAACAATAAAAATATTAACATTCCAAATTATAGCATTAATTACAAATCAAGAACAATTATGTTTTTTCACTCGTTATTTAGTTATTTAGGACTAATCTCATATCCAAACTTATACATATAACTAATTATTAAAAAATTATTAGAAAGTTAAATTTTAAAAATAAAAAGATATATTTAAAGGTGTATTTGACAAATAAAAATGATTTTTTTAGTAAAAAGAAAAATTTTGGATAATTTAAAATTTTCAAATAAATATATCTTAAAAAGATTTAGATAACCAATAATTTTTTAAATAAATTGATTTAATCCATAAATAAAAAATAAGAATTAATTTTATTTGTTTAAATAAAATCTTATCAAAATAAAAAATAATAATTTTATCCCTTTAATTATTTTAAATCTAAATCAAATTTTCATTTAAATTTTAAACGTTTTGAATAATTAAATAAATTTTGAAATTTATTTTTTGATAAATAATCTAAAATTAAAAAAATCTTGTATATAATTATAAAAAAAATTTAATAATTTTTTAAAATATAAAAAAAAATTATCCACATAAATATTTACATCAACAAATTTTATCATATATATATATATATATATATATATGTTAGATTACGCTCTTCGTATGAGAAAAAAGTATTGGGATTAAAACATTTTGACTAATAATTTTTCCTCTTAAGATAATGACAAAATTCGAATTCTCAGCCTAGAAATGTTATTTCCAACTCAACTGTAATTCGTATTTTCGTCCAACGAACGAAGACTTTTTTCTTTTTTTTTAATTCTTAAAGCTCTCCTTTTGCCACGTTGCCGTAATCCGCCGGCCAAACCAAACGGATCCCGTCCTCGTCAACCATCGTCGTCGACGAAACGAAAGTCAATTTTAAAGCTAATCCAAAATTTCCTCAACAACCAAGCGGACCATTCTCTCTCAATATCCGGCCCAAAACTCTGATGGCTCCCAAATTTTAGGGCAATTTTCAATTTTTCCCCTCTCTCGGACCTCAATCCCAACCCAGTTTATACGCTCTTTCTTTCCCATGTGTCGATTCTTCCATCGTTTTCTTCTATCGTTTTTTTTCTGTGTTTTAGGGTTAGGGTATGGCGTAGATTTTGGTCAAGCATTCAAAGCCCCCGTTAGTGTCAAAGATGTTCTCCCGGTGCTTCCGCGCCAGATATCTTGGCCGCTGTTGAAAAATCTTCACAGCGCCGTTGACTTGTTGCCCACTTATGTTGGATCAGTTACCACAGGCAATGGGTCAACTGATTGGAAAGGAGCTTGCTTTTACGAAAACAAGGCTCGTCTCGAGTTGATGGGGAGCGATCGCATCAATTCGGGATTGGGCGGTGGTGTTATTTATCTCAGGGTTCGTGTCTTTGGCCTATTGATCACTATGACTCTGGTTAAAATTGAAGTTTTTAACCGCAATTAAAGTTGTTGAAAAGTTGTTAGTGATTTTCATGTGTCTCTTTGTTGATGTCTTTTGAATTAAATTACATTTTCTTTCAGTTGGTTTAGAGTGTGAAATAATGACTTGTTTTTTCTTCCTAATACTACAATGCTAATTATGGGTTATGGAATTTATTTAAGGTTATTCATGTATGTTTAGTAGACTATGGTTACTGATGTTGTAATAAGTTTTAGCAGCTTTAAATACGTTGTATAAACTTGGAATCTTTTTATTTTCCTTATTAGACTTCAAATCCCAAATTGAAAATTTGGTTGGTATCTCTTCTCTTGAGTCTCCAACATAAGGGTGATTGTTTAATTGTTTTACATACTACGGTTAAATTTGGAGTGTTGATTTTCGTTTTGAACTATAAAAAATGTTCTTTTACAGACATCTAAAGCGCACAGCTGGACCTGTATGGATCTTTATGTTTTTGCAACACCTTACAGGGTTACTTGGGATTACTACTTTTCTGCTCGAGAGCACACATTGAAATTTGATTCTTGGGAAGACACTGCTGAGTTGGAATATGTATGTTTTGATTAATTTTATGTCATTGAATATCATTGATAACATGCTTAATGCATGGAAATGACAATTATGATTCATTTTTGAGCAGGTAAAGCGGAACGGGATCTCTGTATTTCTAATGCCATCTGGAATGCTTGGCATGTTGCTTTCTTTAGTAGATGTGTTGCCTCTGTTTTCTAATACTATCTGGGGTCAGAATGCTAACCTTGCTTTTATGAAAACGCACATGGGTGCTTCATTTGAAAAGCATCCTAAGCCATGGCGTGCAATGATAAATCCAGAAGAAGTGCATTCTGGTGACTTTTTGGCAGTGTCAAAGATCCGTGGTTGGTGGGGGGGATTTGAGACATTAGAAAAATGGGTGACTGGAGCGTTTGCTGGTCATACTGCGGTTTGCTTGAAGGATGACATGGGTAATCTATGGGTTGCTGAATCAGGACATGGAAATGAAAAGGTATGCTATAAAGAACACGTGAATGCAGATTGTATAGTTATTTATTTGTTTCTCTTTGCTTCCTTTCCTCTTCATTAGTCCTACGATTTCCGGTGAGAGGAAAATTTATAGGTGTTCAAATGCTGTCCAGGATTCGCTAACTTATGGTTTTGATACCTTATCTAGTTGATGTATGATGTATCATCATTCATCACCCTTTAACTATTATCAGAAGTTGATCTCACTGTATCAATTTGACTTCAACATTTTTGTCGGGCTCCTTCCTCTCCCTCTTCCTTTGGTTGGGTTGAGAGGTATGCAGGAGGAGAGTGTTTTGAATTAGAATGAGTGAGGTTGTGAAAATTTGGTATGATTTGGTAGGTACTTTTGCCTAGGAAAGAAAATATATGAAGATACGAGATACACAAATTAAAAATTGGGATTTTTAATAGAGATTATGGTTGCCATGTTATTGAGATATTTTATTTAGGGCTTTCTTCCTTATGCCATTTGCTTGCATGAATTTTGCAGGGTGAAGAAATTACAGTGGTTATTCCATGGGATGAATGGTGGGAGTTGTCACTGAAGGACAGTTTTAATCCACACATAGCCTTGCTTCCTTTACATCCAGATATACGTGCAAAGTTCAACTCCACCGCAGCTTGGCAGTATGCTCGGAGCATGTCAGGCAAGCCATATGGCTATCACAACGCGATATTTAGTTGGATAGACACTGTAGCTGACAACTATCCCCCACCTATTGATGCTCACTTGGTAGGCATCTTCTCTGATCATTCTCTGCATCTTGAGTATGCTCTGCTGAGGTTGTGCTCAGGATGAGCAGATGGATTTACTGGCAAAACATTGAGATACTGAGCTTGCTAAATGAAGGTTGTTTCCCAACTCCTAACTTGACGATTTTGATTGCAGGTCATTTCTGTCATGTTTACGTGGACTAGAGTGCAGCCAACATATGCTGCAAATTTGTGGAATGAAGCACTAAATAAGCGGTTAGGGACTGAGGTATCGAGCTTATTCCTCTGTTACTTTTATAAGTCTATAACTGTTACTTTATGAGAAATAGTGAATCCCCCATCTTCCCGCTCTCTCTCTCTAATAAATGATTTTGGACTTTCACCAATTCAGGATCATGGGAAGATATAGGTTAATTAGATAATTTGTGATGGTGGAGTTGTTTGGATTAGGTGAGACTTTGCATGAGCTGATGAATTTATTATTTTGAACTCTACCTCTTTTCGTAGGATTTGGATTTGTATGGAATTTTAGAGGAGACTGAAAGGCGTGGCATAGCCTTTGATCAATTACTCACCATCCCAGAACAAGATGAATGGGTATACAGTAATGGAAAGTTAACAACATGTGTTTCCTTTGTCCTTGAGATGTATAAAGAGGCTGGAGTCTTTGGTCCTATTTCTAACTCAATTCAAGCAACAGAATTCACTGTAAGTATCAGTACTTTTGTCATCCTTTATTTCAATATTGTTTTGACTTGATCTTACAGGGTATGACATGACTTTTTATTTACAGATTCGTGATGCCTACATGCTTAAAATTTTCGAGAACAACCAAACTCGCCTGCCTAGTTGGTGCAATAACGAGAATGACCGGCTTCCATTCTGTCAGATTCTTGGTGAGTATTGGATGGAATTGCCACATTATAACACCATAGAGCCATATGTCAACATGAATGAAAATTGCCCATCCTTACCTCCAATTTATGATAGGCCCACGAGATGTTAAGTTTGATTGCAATCTGCTTGTGGACTAGTGCTCCCACTCACGTTTGTATCAAATGCTAAGACGCCTTTCTGGAATTGGTCTACAACTGTACTAGCTCTATTTATGCTTCCAGATTCCCGCTAGATATACTAAATTTCTGTAATAATATTTTCAATGTTACGAAAGTCAACGACATTTATGTACTAGTTTTGTTACATTACGCATTCGTGATCACAAACATCTGAATCAGTGCTTTTGGAATTATTGCAAGCGAGCTGGAACTCATATCAGCGGCAAGCTTTTTGATCACGTTGTACATTTTACATTAGACATTGTTTGGTGGTCGTTTTGGGAGATCTAACCTGGCAATACCTGCTCGTCTAATTAGCCTAGGAATCGTCGTTTTAATCGTCAAATCATTGTTTTTAAAAAGGAGATTCGTTGTAGAAGCATTGGCATGAACTTTGGGCAAGCTTGCTAGGAAAGCTGGTTCGGCTTTAGATTTGGGTAATTCTAAGCTTTAAGTCATCGACAATTTTGTAAATGAGTTTGATAAAAAAATGTCTCATATTTGGTTAGTTAATATCGATTATAACATGATAATTTTTATAGTTTACATATGTTTAATATGAAAAGATACAACAAGAAATTCTTATTCTATTATACAGCTAGCAGCAATATTTATTATAGGTCGGTCTTTTTTTTTATCTTTCTAAACTCTAAAACCAAAGGTTTAAATATTTTCTACTACTAGCATGTGACTTCGATACATTAGAAATAATAATAATAATAATAATAATAATAATAATAATAATAATAATAATAACATTATTATTATTATTATTATTATTATTATTAGCAATGAAAATATTTGGACAGCGGATGAAAAAATATTCCAAAATCCAAATCAAATTTCTCCATCCCAAAACTCCTCGATTGTCTTGAAAGGTCCATATTGGGAGGTAAAAAGTTCTCCATCGCATCCCACATGCTTTGTGGGAGTTCATGGATCCTTTTCAGCTCGTCCTCGCTCAATGACCAATTGAATATCTCAAGGTTTTGCTTCATCCTCTCACCATTGAAGCTCTTTACTAATATACTCGCACCTTGTTCATATCCCCATCTCAGACATATCTGTTTTTTGATTAGCAATCAACCTTTTACTTTGTCTTCCATTCATCCAAATTTCAAAACAGATAGAGAAAAGGAGATAAAACCATAGCTAGAGGAGGATCCAGTAGCAAAGGTAGGGCGTTCATAAGGCACCCAAAAAATTGAAAAACCAGATAATTTAAAAGCCAATTTTTTCTGGGCACTTTCAAAAATCTTCTTTGAACACCCTTTTCTAAGATAAAATTAATAAATCCATCGTCAATTTTTAATTTATCTATAGTATAAGTAGACACTCTAAAAAAATTCTGGATATCCCACTAGCCATTGCATTACTACAACTTTGGCTAAGGAAAAAAGCACCTGAGCAACTGTCTTCCCTTTTGCCTTGGCAATTTCCTGCAGCACTTCACACTTCAGAACTCTATTGGTGCCCCAAGGGGTCCCTGCGGCTCCCAATGGAGAGTAACCTTCTAAAAGGATCCCATTTGCATTGCAAAACTCTCCTAGCTTCTTTTGGTTCCACAGCGGATTGAATTCCACCTAGCAAAAATTGTTAACAACTTCACCTATCCCAACTCCAATGTTCAAACCAGATTGAATGCGAGTGTGTATCAGGGATAGTTATACCTGATTAACATCCGGAGGGATCTCTGCAAAGGAAAGGATGTCAGCTAATTTTTTGCAGGAAAAATTGCAGACACCAATGGACTTTGTGAGGCCAAGCCTATGGCAATCTTCCATCGCTGCCCACACGGAACCGAAACCCATGGGGAGGAAGTCTTCCTTTCTTATTGGAAATTCCTAAATCCCTGGCTTTATGCTAATAGGCCAGTGAATAAGATAGAGATCGAGGTACTCCAAGTTGAGATTTCTTCATGAAAAACAGTTTAGACAAAGAATTTACTATGTCAGTGGCCAATATATATGTATCGAGATGGAGGAAATGCATGCAACTAAGAGGGCAATATATATCTTACTGTAAGCTCCTGTGAAGAGCAGGGAGAACAAGTTCTCCATGACCATCGCTGCACCACAGCTTCGAAGTGATGAAGAGCTCTTTTCGAGATTTAATTAAGCCAAGCGAAATTGCTTCTTTGATTGCTTCACCAAGCGGCTGCTCTGTTCCGTACATGGAAGCTGTATCAAAGTGCCTATAACCAAGCTCAATTGCTTGGAGAATCGCCTGCTTTGTAACTTGTGGTGGTACTAGTGGGTAGACTGCCGTGCCAAAGCCCAAACGCGGCATTCTCTGCCCACTTGAGCTCAAAACCTGTTCTGGAATCCTAAAAACTGTTGCCTCTAAACTGCTTTCCATCTGCTTAATTTGCCCTGTTGATCTAGTTTTGCCAACAACTCTAAGTTCTGCTTTTGTTTCTGTCGAAATGTGAATAAATCAAGTGCGAAGCCTTGGTATTATAAAGGAAAGGTTGAGTGTCATGAGCCACCCTTGTATAGGGCCATGACCGGGACTTAGGTTGTCATGAGCCACCCATGTATAGGGCCATGGCCGGGTAGATCCCTTGTGCTAGGAAAAGTGTCCCCATTTCAAACATTGTAACGGTTACTGGTAGCATAGCTCTAAAAGCTCTAAGGCTCTTTAGGGGGAGGTGAGCCGGCAGCGTAGTGTTGGGCTGTCTCACCGGGTGCTATACGAGCTTAGGCCACCCACCAAGGGCTACCTCCCTGGCCCTGGTGATGGTGGGAGGTCCCGATGTATGATTCCCGTTTATAATAAAATTCACCCCAATTGAATGCCCGATTGTTGTCTCGATGCGTTTCTTTCTTTCTCGTTGTGAATGTGCCTTGTTGTGTGTGTATGCTTGAGATTGACCTCGATATATTGTGCCTTATTGTGAATGCTTGAGACTAACCATGGTTTATGGTTATTTGTTCAAATATCGATCTATTGAAGGCTGACTTGGGTGGAAGCGTCCATTCAAGTGCCGTACGGGCTAGGGCTTGTTGAGAGAAAGCTTAGTCTGTGACACGTGGTATCAGAGCACGGTTGAGAAGTGCTAGAAAATGGATGAGATGGCCACAAGTGGTGGACCTGATCATCAACAGAGAATTGAAGAACTTGAGGCCGCAGTGGCCGCAATGAAAACTCACATGGTGACTAAAGATCGAGTGAGGGAGATCGAGACAACCCAGCGGGAGTTGTCCGATACTCTCCACAATGTGAGCGAGGAGGCTAGAGATGCCTTGAACATTCTCCAAAAGGAGTTTGAAGAGCTCAGAGCACAGGTGAACATTTTACAATTGGCTGTGACCAGGTCGGGTTCAAGCTCGATGGATAGGGGGAGAATGCCTAAGGTGCCGGAGCCTCGATTTTATGAGGGGGCAAGGGATACCAAGGAACTTGAAAATTTCTTGTTTGACATGGAGCAGTACTTTCGAGCGGTGCACACGGATTCAGAGGAAGACAAAGTAACAATGGCATCGATGTACCTCGCAGGGGATGCCAAGCTTTGGTGGCGTTCCAAGTTTATCAATGACGAGTGCTCGATTAAAACTTGGACGGACCTGAAGCAGGAATTGAAAAACCAGTTTTTCCCTGAGAATGTGGAGTATATGGCTCGAAAGAGACTCTGAAAGTTGGTGCAAACAGGGACAGTGCGAGAGTTTGTGAGGAGCTTCTCTACCTTGATGTTGGATATTCGAGACATGTCCAAGAAGGACAAGATGTTCTATTTTCTTGAGGGCTTCAAGCCTTGGGCCAGAGCAGAACTACAAAGACAAAAGGTGCAAGACGTGGCCACGGCCATGGCTGCAGCTGAACGTCTCCAAGACTATAACGATGGCTCCTTAAAACGAAAAAATCCTTCATCAGTTGGCAGTAGCTTCAACTTTGGAAGTGGGGGAAAGATGACCAGATTGGATAGTCCCTTCAGTGGGGGATCAGATAGGAGGCCTTTCGAGCGAGATAGCACCCAGCCCAAAACAAACAATGCAGTGACTTTCAGGCCTAGGCAACCGCTAGCTTACTTTTTTTGCAAGGGGCCGCATCGGGTGGCCGAATGCCCGCACAGAGGAGTTTTTAACACTTTAAGGACCTCATCTCAAGAGTCTGCAAAAATGTCGGAGAGCGTTGAAGAGATCGAAGAGGAACCAACCAAGATGGGCTCAATAAGGTTCCTCAATGCCTTTCACACCCAATTGAACACTATAAGGAAAGAGCAAAGTAGGGGCTTGATGTATGTGAATCTAATGATCAATGAGAAGGCCACCAAGGCCATGGTGGATACAGGTGCAACAGATACTTTCATCACACGAGAAGAAGCGAAAAGGTGTGGCCTCCAGGTTAACAAAGACTGTGGACGAATGAAGGCGGTCAATTCGCCAGCCTTTACGATTAGTGGAAGCTTCAAGGGTGTGACAACTAAATTGGGGCCATGGGAAGGGAAGGTAGACTTCACAGTCTCCCCTATGGATGACTTTGATGTCGTTCTCGGATTGGACTTCATGACGTTGGCTCAGGTGATCCCTATCCCCGTTGCTAGCTGCTTGTTGTTTTTAGGGGAACACCCATGTGTGGTGCCAACCAATATCTTGCCAAAGAGTGGGAAGAAAATGATTTCGGCTTTGCAATTCAAAAAAGGGGTAAAGAGAGGGGACCCTCTTTTGTGGCCATGCCGATCTACAAAGAAGGGTCGGAAGTAGAACCAATACCCGATGGCGTGAAGAGAGTATTGAAAGAATTCAAAGAGGTGATGCCAGAGATGTTGCCCAAGGTTCTACCCCCTCGACGAGCAGTGGACCACGAAATTGAGCTCCTCCCAGGAGCAAAACCCTCTGCTAGAGCTCCTTATCGCATGGCCCCGCCAGAGTTGGCCGACCTGAGAAAACAGTTAGATGAGCTTCTACAAGCCGAGTTCATCCGACCATCAAAGGCTCCTTTCGAAGCGCCAGTGATATTCCAAAAGAAGCATGATGGGAGTTTACACTTATGTGTTGACTACAGGGCCCTAAACAAAGTCACCGTAAGAAACAAATATCCTATCCCGCTTATAGCAGACTTGTTTGATCAATTGAGCCGGGCCAAGTACTTCTCCAAACTGGACCTGAGATCTGGATACCATCAGGTCAGAATCGTTGAGCGAGATGAGCTAAAGACCACTTGTGTAATACGGTATGGCACATTTGAATTTCTTGTTATGCCCTTTGGACTGACCAATGCTCTTGCCATATTTTGTACA